CAGAATATGCAAATCTGTTCTCGGCGTTCTTTCGAAGTGTGCAAAGTAATAATCGACCACCTTTGACTGAATCGTACTTGAGCAATTTGCCGCACTACGACTTGAACGTGACCGTCTACAACTTCTCTCGGCAAGATGTTTTTGCTAAGCTGGTTTCTATCGACCCTTCGAAAGGAGTAGGTCCAGATCGTCTGTCACTTTTCTTCATCAATCGGTGTGCGGAGTCAATCGCTTTGCCTGTGAGTATTCTCTTCAACATATCTCTTTCGGAGAGCGTATTTCATAACAAATAGAAAACGGCAGCCATCACTCCCATTCATAAAAGTGGTAATGTTAATGACGTCGAAAATTATCGTGCAATTTCGATTTTGAGTTGCTTTCCTAAAGTCTTGGAGAGTCTTGTCCATGATTCTTTGTATCGTAACGTTCAACATGTGATATCAGAGAGTCAGCATGGATTTGTCAGGATGCGGTCAACAACAACCAACCTGATGTGCTACGTTTCTTCTCTTGTGGACAGCCTTGAAAAGCGACAACAGGTCGATGCAGTTTATGTCGACTTTTCTAAAGCATTCGACAAAGTGCCGCATGCACTGGCAGTGGAAAAACTCAAACGCATGGGATTCCCTCAATGGCTTACACAATGGATTGAATCGTACTTGTCTGAGCGTTGGGCTTTTGTACGCCTCGGTGGAACCTCTTCTGAAACGTTCTCAATTACTTCCGGGGTTCCTCAAGGAAGTCATTTGGGACCATTACTTTTCGTGCTGTTTGTTAACGATCTGTGCGGACTCATCAGATCACCGAAGTACATGTTCGCTGATGACCTGAAATTCTTCCGCCTGATAACCTCCATGGTCGATTGCTGCGCTCTTCAGATGGATATCGACTCGCTTCTTGAATGGTGCTCATTAAACGGAATGGAAGTGAATATTCGTAAATGTAACATCATCTCGTTCAACCGATCTAGGACAACTGCCATTTTCGATTATAAGATGAACGCTTCAAGTGTCAACCGTGTGTCATCAATCAAGGATCTTGGATTAATACTGGACAGTAAGCTGAAATTCACCAAGAACATTGCAACAACCACCGCCAAAGCATATGCGATACTAGGGTTCATCAAGCCAACACGCAGCAATTTGAGGATGTATACTGTCTAAAAACATTGTATTGTTCGCTAGTGCGTAGCATACTGGAATATGGCGTTCTAGTATGGGCACCGTATCACGTCACGCTTTGCTTTCGCATTGAAAAGATTCAAAGTAACTTTGTCCGCTACGCTCTACGACTGCTACCATGGAACCGTCGTTTCAACGAATCGCGTGAAGATTATGAAACCATGTTTAAAAATAGGATTAGTTCTTTAAATAGAAATTAATAATTCTGTCTGTGCGTTTTTATTATACGAAGACAAGTAAATAAATAAATAAAAATAAAATAAAAATGTTGGCGAGATTTGAAAGAGTTGTAATCAACAGTTATTTCCTAAAATATTGCCATATTTTTGCATATTTTCTATAAAATCTTCCTTGTGTGACCCCGACCAGAGAGGAATATATAATTTATAACATATTTATATCAACTCCTGTTGTTAATTAATACAAAATCTTGATAAATTTTGTTTCAGGGTCTCAGTATGAAAAATATCATCAAAATAATTGAAACAAAATAACAACACATTTTGTTAAAACTGAAGAGTACGAAACATGAGACGAAGGGGAAGTGATCGTTGATAAGGTGTATTCTCATTTCATGTTATTTAATTAATATCTTATCCCAATCAGAATAAATATAGCATAAATATTTGTTTGATTTGACGTACGAAGAGGGTTAAAATTTCAAAATAAAACGTGTGACGAAATAGTGTCAGGTTTTGAACACTTAAAACATGGTCATTTATGAATGAATTTCAATTTTAATGACAGCATTTGATTCAAATTATATGAAAGATTTGTTGGAATACAGATGATAGTTGTTTATTAATGGTTAACTATTGAAAATTGATCAAAGTTTTTAGCCGTAATCAACCAATCACGTGCTCGCTTGCTATGCCTATCGAGAGAACAGAGAGACGATCCGGTACCACTCAATACTCAATGTATTCTATTTAGCCATTGCTTTTTTTTCTATTCATTGACCTACATCAGCAAAATACAGAAAAAAAATAGTGGGCTTAGAATGCACTCTGGAAATTTCAAAAAATCTTTTTTTTTTTGACTTTGGAATGTCTACTTTGACATAGACTTGACCGCAAGTCCGCAAGTGACATCGTTCCAAAGTTATAGGCCGATTAGTGGACTCGTGTCCAGACGCTCCAAGCACGTTCAGGTGAGCGCTCGGAGTACCCGCCCGTTACCGGCGAAACGGCGTGTCTTAGTAGTTCCAACTGCTGCCGCGATTATCTCTAAACGATGTTTTCAAAATTGGCGGGCGCTGTATTTTAGAAACGGCTCATTCGATTTAAACGACGATTGAATTTTCGAGTTAAGTACCTTTTTTTCTAGTCTTGTACGTAGCCGATTTTCAAAAGAATCAAAAATGGATTTTTGGTGCAAGCTTTTATCTCCAATTGTAGGGTACAAAAACGGACTGTTTTTTTCAAAACGTCGCCAAATTTTTATTTTTCAACCAAATCAAAAACGGCTACTTACAAGACTGGGTCATCTATCAGAGAATAACAACAACAAAATTCGTTGTTCCAGCTCCAGTGGTGTGAACGCCAGACGTCCCGCCCCGCAACGACTCAGACGGGATGTCTCCTGGCGAACCTGGTGCAGCGGCTACAGGAGACATCCAATCGCGCCAAAAAAAAATCTCAATTAAAGAGGACATTTCAATGGACAAAACCATGCATTCCTTTTTTTTTTGAATTGATCGTTATTTACCCTCAAAAAAATTTCTTGAAAATGAGCTATTTTTCATGCCGCCAGAGTGGACAACCCCCTTAAGTAAGGGAAACGTAGAAAATTTGACTGCAGTGTGAGGCATTGATTCTCTGTTTGACCTTCAAGTAGTTCAGTTTGGGTTTTGCTCACTCTGTCGAGTTATTCGATAAGGTAATAGTTTATTTTCCAAACGATCGCGCGTTTTTTTTTTGTATGGGATAGCAACCCTCCAGAATCAGGCTCCGAGAGAAAGTAAAGAACAGTGGTGAGTTTCCGGAATTCGGCCTAGTGGCCATTTCGCCTAGTGATCATTCGGCCTAATAACCCAGCATCTACCCTGAGCATTCAACATAATCTGATTGATATATCTCATGATAGGTTCTGGTACAAATAAAAGGTACGGACCATTTTCCCGAATCACCATCGATGTGATAGATGGGTCCTGGGTACTCAATATGACCACCAGTTACCATGTTTCTAAAGTTCCTTTGGTTTTATCATTTTTAACAAAATTCTGAAGCTCTATCTCTGACATATCGAGTCATAGAATCAAAATAACACTACGTAGATTTCGACTTATGAAGAGTACAATACATGGGAAAATTAAGGAACCGCAGAATCCATCGAATTATAGAATATCGAGTTGGAGAGAGCTGACTGTACATGAATTTTCTATCTTGCGTGGATATCAAAATTTTTGCAATACAAATTCCTATTTATAGAACGCTTTGCCGATATGAGCTGAAATTATAGCCCATAGGCTACAGATTAATTAGAATTAAAAGCAATCGTCAAATCCAATAAAACCGCAATCACCCTCCATGGTTTTCCTCCATCCGGCCGCATCCGGCTAGAAAGTAGTAGATACTAAGAAGAAAATTAATTCCCCCTTGCCGGAAGATTGATTCTTAGATCAAGCCTCAGACCACTTCCTGGAGTATCTCTTGATTACTTCCACCCTCGTTGGCAGTTCTAATGGCAAGTATTTACACTTCTGACTTTCTTCTTCCATCTCCTGAGTGGGGTGGAATGCATTTGCACACGACTGCGACCATTTCATCTCCCCCTTCAATTGCATTCCAACCAACCTTCTTTGTACTGATGAAGTGTTGCTGTATATAAGCCAGCAGCTGCCATTAAACATCATCATCCAACGCTTCTGCACTTCCAACACAGGTCACGCGTGAAAGATTTATCCTCACGGCCTCACACCTCACGATGCTGCACTTATTTGCCAATACACGCACAGTAAATAATTCACTGATTCTGGAATGTGATTAAGCATCATTAGACAGCCTTCGCCTTATCGGTACCGCAGCATTAATGAATTCCTTCCCGCAGAACAATTGCAATTATTCCTCATCACTAGCATTACAGCGAACTCGGTTGATCTTCATTTGTCGCCTGAATTCCATCTTCTCCTTGTAATTCATCTCTATTTGTGTCATCAAAATTCACCGTAGCTGTCCATCAGCGACTGAATTGTAACTTGTTTGTTCGGGGTGCAATGTCGGTCGGTTGTGGGGGGGCCAGAACTTCGCAACTGCTACGCAACGTTCCGTGAGTGGACGCGTCGGAATTCCTCGGATGGAGGTTTCTTTTTAAGATAACTTTCTCGAGACGGTTGCAAACAGCATCTCGTTGCTAATAACCATTGCGAAAGATGGAAGCGTGTGGCCTCCGGGAAGGGACAACAATGAAGGGGACAAACTTTTCTCTTAGAAGATGTAATTGAAATAGGTACCTACCGACGACGACCAGGACGACGATGACGCAGACGACAGTGTTGGTGTGCGTGTGCTAGGAAAAAGGAAACTCACAAATAATAGGAGTCAGACAAAAATAAAATCAGTGCGCGTTCTACTAGCGGGAAGTGATTTGTTACAAGTGTTGTTGGGGACATATTTCAAATAACTAATCTTGGCCGCTTCTGTTGGTTGGACGCTAAGTTTGTGCGTTCAAGCGAAATGGAATTGGAATGGAAAAGTTTTGCACAATTCATTTCGAATACACTTAGGGAGCTAATTGGGTCTGTTGGATGTGCCCGGGAAGTTCGATACTGGTGATTTATCTTATAAGTTGCGTTTCCTTCTATCCGTTTCGTACTTTCAGGGACAATTCTTCTCCGGCTCAGAGCACCGTGTCTACCTGTTGGGTAATCCGATCATCTGGTGGAGTAACTTGGTCTTTTTGGCGCTGTTCGTTGCGGTGTTTTTGGTTGAGGTCATCAAGTATCAGAGGAACTCCGGCTTGACGCAGAATACTGCCATTAGTGCCAGTGCAGACGAAGGTAAGCGCTAGAGAAGTGGTACGATACTTGGATCAGGATAATAACCGTTAAAATTTCCCACATTTCAGAATCCAAATGGCGCTCGCTGAGGGCATCCGTATGGCTGTTCGGAGGCTGGCTACTGCACTATCTACCCTTCTACGCAATGGGACGAGTTCTGTACTTCCACCACTACTTTCCGGCCCTGGTGTTCAACTCAATGCTTGCAGGTCAGTGTCAAAGCTCCGGAGGCGATAATCTTTCTCAACACGACAAACTTGCTCATAATAAGTTCAACTTTCTCGTTTGCGAAGAAAGTGCACAGCGACATAAGGCATCATACTTTCCACCTATCGTGAATGTACCTTTTGTTCAGCAAAACTTTTATCACCTAATTGAACATTATTATAACTCGATATGACTAACTTTATTATCGCCACCGTTGTCGATGCCATTTTCATCAGCCGTATTCCGTGTGAGAGAGATCATACAGTGATGAAATTCCTGGCTTGCTTCAGCTCCGGCGCGACACTTATCGCAAGCCATTGACTCTTCATGTCTGGAAAATCTCTTCACACCCACCCAACAGCACATTTCTCCCAACATAAACGGTCAACTGCAGCCTCTGCCGCCAGACTCAATGGCTCAATCATGCGTCTTCTCAAGGGTCCGGGTACACAGAAGATGGTTTGCGGTGTGAAAAATATTTCAAAATTCCTAAGATTCTTCACACATCCACCCATTCGCTGCTTTCTTGATAATGTTGATGTGCGATAGAGGCTATGTGTAGCATAAACGAAAAGGCATTCCAGAAGGATGGTGGGGAGGGGCGAATGCGGCGAAGATAAAAGGTGACACGATGTGGTTCTTTATCTTTATGGGTTGAAGTTGTGGCTTGTGGCTGTCGGTGGTGGCGGAGACATTCTCCCTTGATGCTGAGGCTTCTTTTAAACTTAGTTCGGTAGGTTCCTACTTAGCTTTTATGCCGCAATGCAAAGTTGGCGAGGCTATAGAGGACGATGTGACTTTGAGGTGAGAAAACTAAGATTAGGAACTGCGGTGTGGTTCAGCGTAATGAAGTTTCACTTTTCACCTTTTGTGTGAAGGTGGCGCGTGCTTTCTGGTTTGAAGGATTCCTTCGAGCTCGAGGGCTCACCTTTTGCCATTGAACTATGGGAAAATGTTGGTGGGGTTTGAAAGAGTTGGAATGAACAGATATTTCCAATAATATTGCCATATTTTTTGGATATTTCCTATAAAATCTTCCTTATATTTGTGATGACGACCAGAGAGGAATAACGAATTTATAACATAATTATATCAACGTCTGTTGTTAATTAATAACAAATTTTGATAAAATGTTGTTTCAGGGTCCTGTTGTAAAACATATCATCAAAATAATTAAAACAAAATACATTTTGTTATAATTTTGTTAGATTTTAAATAGAAGGAAACATATTTTTTCGAAAGTTTTTTTTTGTCAGATGCAAATACATTTATTACGCTTTGAGAAGAAAGAAAGTTGTGCGTAACATTCTTTGACGTGCTTTGTAATAGGTGTACGAAACATGAGACGGAGAAGAAGTGATGGTCGATAATGTGTACTCTCATTTCATGTTATCTAATTAATATCTTCTCCCAAAAAGAATGAATATAGAATAAACCATCACTTCATTGCTACATCTTTGTTGACTATATTGATGTGCAAAAAAAAAAAAGTGTGACAAAATAGTGTCAGGTTTTGAACACTTATAACATGGTCATTTATGAACGCAATTCAATTTTAATTACACCATTTTCTTCAGATTGGATGTAAGAATTGTTTGGTATTAAGGGGATTGTTGCTTATGCAACTAATAGAGAAGTCAGCTCCGAAATTTTAAACGTATTTATTATGTGTTGCGTTAAAGTTTCCTAAAAAAAATATGCGTTTTAGAATACAATGTTTACTATGATCTTATAACTTACGTTTTGTAATCTTCTTTCATTTTTCAATCCGGAATAGAATCTATGTAACGCTAGGCTTAGGGAATCCTGAATACAATGAATCAAATTTAGGAAATATTCAAATTAAACTTTTAGTTATCAAATTTACCGGTTTGTGCAGAATAACTATAGTTTTCTTTTCTGTCTAGATGCGGCTCAAGGCAAAGTGCAAATCAGCGTAACCTATAACAATTTCTAGGATAATAAATTTCATTTTAATTAACACTTCAATAAACAAAACTGTTATTTGTTCAACTCACTGCATGAGTAGAATAACAAATTTAGGTTTAAATGCAAACAAATTTAGGTTTAAATTAGGCAAATAAATTTATATAATCTTTTTCGACATCGTGTCACACCAATTTAGCTTTGTTATAAGCACTCTTTGTTCTTCTCCATGATCTCGTTTTGTCAGCTTTCGCTTGTTCAGTTGGTACCGAAGTGTTGATTTGGAGGTAGGCTCACAGACGAGGGGCGTTCGCAACAGTCCCCCCCAGTAGTTGGACCCTGGTTCAGCATACTCTCATTTGTCCCAATGTCCAGTACCGGCAATTTCACCGCTGGTCTGTTGTAGATGCCGGAAGCGGTCTGAACCGTTGCTGAACGTACCTGCCCATCTTTCGAAGTCTTGACTGCGACTACTCTCCCTTTAGGCCAGCAATTCCTTGGGAAGCTGGGATCGACGACAATTACAATGTTTCCAGCAGCAATCGGTTTTACAGGGTTGAACCACCTTGCCCGGCGGGTGATTACAGGAGTGTATTCAAGAACCCAGCGTTTCCATAAATAGTTGGTCAGAATCTGTGATGTTTTCCAGGACTACCGCATAGCCAAAGCACTATTATCATATGGCACTAAAGGTTTAGAACCATTCGATGATCCAACTAAAAAGAGGTTCGGTGTCAATGCGGGACACGATTCATCGTCGACAGGAACATGAGTCAATGGTCTGCTGTTTACAACGTTTTCTATTTCAGCCATCTGGTTCTTTGGGACTTCGTCGGTTGGTAAACATTTTTTTGATTTCGGCTAGAACCTTTTTGACCGTCTGTATCCAGGCATGGAAAATCATTTGCATTCATTTCATACATTCATTTACATTCATTTGCCTCTAACTTTTTTCATCAACAGCATTCCGCAAAATGATGTATAGAGCTTTTGTAGGTTTTGTTATTAGCTACAACTTTTGGTTATACATAAAATCTGTATCTCTTATGCATCACGAACTAGAGCGGGCAGAACTTGTTACTGTTTTGCAGTGAATGTAAAATACATTCACTGAAAAACAGTAGTGGCTTCTGTTCGCTCTGGTTCGTCGTGTATAAGAGATACGAATTTGACTTGTTAACAAAAGTTGTAGCTAATAACAAAACCTACAAGCTTGATACACCAATTTGCGGAATGCTGTCCAGGAAAAAAGTTAGAGGCAAATGAATGTAAATGAATGCACGAAATGATTGTAAATGATTTTCCATGCCTGTCTGTATCATCCTCTCCCATATGCCACCCATATGTGGCGACGCAGGTGGGTTGAAGCTCCACGAAGTAGACGCCGTAGTGAACTCAGCCATAATTTTGTTGTTGTCGACGTTCGCTAACGCCTCAATGAGTTCCTTTGATGCGCCCACGAAGTTGGTCCCTCGGTCGCTTATTATTTGCAGTGGAGTTCCCCGTCTGGAGAAGCAATTCCGTAGGGCCATTATGCACGAGTCCGTTGAGAGAGAGTGGGCTTTCTCGATATGCCCGTGTAGTCAAGCAAGTAACTAACACTCCATAACATTTCTCGGACCGCCGCCCAACGGTGACCTGGTACGGGCCGAAATAGTCAACCCCTACGTAAGAAAAGGGTCGAACAAAGGCTGCTAGTCGCTCTTTTGGGAGGTTCGCCATCATAGGAGAATCAGGCTCAGCCCGTCGGATTTTACAGCGAGAACACTCTCTACGGACTCTGTCACACTCCACACGTACTCTTGAAATGTTGAACTTCTTCCGAGCTTCGTTAACGAAGGTTTCGTTGCACTGGTGGTGGTACTTTTCGTGGACGTTCTGAAGCACTAAATTTGTGAGCGGGTTGCGACGTGGTACACTGAAACCTCCGTTTAAGAAGTCTTTTTTTTACGCAGTATTCAATTTACGTCCCTCTTTTTACGAAGTAAATCCCAAATAACGAGGTTTTTTTTACGAAGTAAAGTCCAAATAACGAGTTTTTTTTTGTGATTTTGGGAAACTGGGATATACTGTGAAATACCTCACAATATGGGTATTTTTGGAATCGGAGTGATGTGTAGGGACCGAAAATCAATGTCTGACGCCATTTTGAAATCCAAGATGGCGACTTCCGGTTACAGAAAAACTTGGAAATTCTGCCAAATACCCCCACAATATGGGTATTTTTGGAATCGGAGTGATGTGTAGGGACCGAAAATCAATGTCTGACGCCATTTTGAAATCCAAGATGGCGACTTCCGGTTACAGAAAGACTTGGAAATTCTGCCAAATACCCCCACAATATGGGTATTTTTGGAATCGGAGTGATGTGTAGGGACCGAAAATCAATGTCTGACGTCATTTTGAAATCCAAGATGGCGACTTCCGGTTACAGAAAAACTTGGAAATTCTGCCAAATACCCCCACAATATGGGTATTTTTGGAATCGGAATGATGTGTAGGGACCGGAAATCAATGTCTGACGCCATTTTGAAATCCAAGATGGCGACTTCCGGTTACAGAAAAACTTGGAAATTCTGCCAAATACCCCCACAATATGGGTATTTTTGGAATCGGAGTGATGTGTAGGGACCGGAAATCAATGTCTGACGCCATTTTGAAATCCAAGATGGCGACTTCCGGTTACAGAAAAACTTGGAAATTCTGCCAAATACCCCCACAATATGGGTATTTTTGGAATCGGAGTGATGTGTAGGGACCGGAAATCAATGTCTGACGCCATATTGAAATCCTAGATGCAACTTCCGGTTACATAAAAACATGGAAATTCTGCCAAATACCCCACAATATGAGTATTTTTGAAATCGGGGTGACGTTTAGGGACCGAAAATCGATTTCTGATGCCATTTTTAAATCCAAGATGGCGACTTCCGGTTACAGAAAAACTAGGAAATTCTGCCAAATACCCCCACAATATGGGTATTTTTGGAATCGGAGTGATGCGTAGGGACCGGAAATCAATGTCTGACGCCATTTTTAAATCCTAGATGGCAACTTCCGGTTACATAAAACATGG